CTTGGGTGTTTTCTTTTCTTTTTTTTCAGCTCAAACTGAGATTTTTCAGTCTTGAAGAGATCTTCTGCAGCAAACGTTTTTTCTTTCTCTGTTTTTGAGACAAGGTCTTACTATGTAGCCCAGGTTTCAAACTCACCATCATGCCACAGAAACCCCCTCCCCCCCGCCCCATACAGTATTTGGCCCTAGTTGTTACTGCCTACACTCCAAAGGACTAACGAAGCTTCCTTTCACAAAGGTTTGTCCTCCTAGATGTTGGAGGCAGAGGGACGCACACAATACAAATATGACAGACAGCATGCCTGTCATTCCACAATCACCCCACATTTGAGTTTGGCTAAAGGCCTAGATCACAGTGTGCCGTATTGTCTAGGAATGTCACACACACAGTCACAGTTCTCTTGGCCATGTGGGCATAGTCCCAGCTGTCAGCCCGTTACTTTCTTTGAGCCATGCTTCTTCAAGCAGGAGGACACGATGGGCAGAAGTACCCCAAGGAGAAGGTTGGAGCCAGGGTTGTCGGGAAAGGTAGGGTGCCAGGGATGACTCTGCTCATGTTTGTCTGGTTACAGCTGCCCTATGAGAAGGACTGCAAGAACAAAGTGTTCTGCATTGCTGAGGTCCAGCTGACCACCGCCATCTCTCAGTGAGTCGAACCTTGTTACCATTAGCATTGTTTCTGCAGTTGATGTCCTCCTAGGACCCACCTGGGCAAACCTCTCATCCAGACCCACCTGGGCAAGCCTCTCATCCAGACCCACCTGGGCAAGACTCTCATCCAGATGGGTGCACACTCCTTTCCCCTTCCCTCCTGGCCCTCAATGGGACTTTATATCTGTTATTCAGTCTCCCCATTGCATAGATCAGGAAATAGTTGTGTTTGCTGCACAGACTCTCAGTGGCCACTTGGTGAACCTGAACCCAAGTCCCTTGATCTGCTGGACAATCCTATGTTCATAGTGATCCTCACTCCTACAACTCCCTCTGGTTTGCCACTTGGGCAAATTCATGAATGAACTCATTGAGTATTTCTGGAGTAGTTTTACTCTGTTCTAGGGGCTCTAGATGCTGGGAGATACCTCAGCCAACGGTACAAACAAAAATCCTTCCTCTGCAGATACTTAAAGAGAAAGTGACAGATAAGCAACTCTGGGTAGATGGGCTACAGCACACAGATAAGTGCAGGGAAGGGGTGAGGTTTTAAACAGGGTGGTCAGGGAAGGTGACAGAAGAGGTGGGTGCTGCCATGTGGTGTCTGAGGGCAGAGCATATGCCCCGATGGAAGCAGCCTGGGAGGTGGAAGGTAGAGCATGGACTCTAGGAGGATGTGGAAGGGTGTGAGGGGGGGAGTAACGTGGGAGAGGTGGAGGGAAGTCTAAGGGGGCCCCAGGGGACCTTAGAAGGGCCAGAGGAGAAAGATGGGCTCATGTTTTAAGTCTAGCTAAGCTTGCTGGAGCATTAGTTCTCAACCATGCTAATGCTGTAACACTTTAATATAGCTCCTCATGTTGTAGTGACCCCCAAACACAAATTTTTGTTCATTGCTACTTTATAACTGTAATTTTGCTACTGTTATGAATCGTAATGTAAATATCTGTTTTTTTCTGATGGTCTTAGGTGACCCCTGTGAAAGGGTCAAAGGGGTCACAGGGGTCAAAGGGGCCACAGCCCACAGGTTAAGAACCACTGTGCTAGATGACAATGATGGATTGTAGGAAGCAGGGAGAAAATAGTTACTACTCTGACAACAAAGGTACAGGTAAGAGGGTAGTGGCTTAGACTAGCTGGAGGCAAGGACAGCGGTTATCTTTTGAAGCTAGAGTCTTCAGATTTGCTGACAGTAGAGGTAGGGAGCAAGGAGAGGGCCCAGCCCAGGCATCTAGAATTGCTTAAGCCAACACACTCACCACTAGTCCCTGTTGAATATTTAATTTCAAGGTCATTGCATTTAAATGCAATTTCTAAAAAATGTAATTCCAGGGATAGAGAGATGGCCCAGTGGTTAAGAACCCTGACTGTTCTTTCCAGAGGACCCAGATTCAATTCCCAGCAACTACATGGTGGCTCACAACTGTCTGTAACTCCAGTTCTGGGATGCCCTCTTTTAGCCTCCCAGACACTGCATGCATGTGGTGCAAATCCACCCATATTCATAAAATAAAATGTGAAGCAAAACATATTCCGTAGTGGCATCATACTGAATATCCATATTGATTAACGGCATCAATAAGACAGTAGGATGTGGACCATCACAGCAGATGTTTTATTGCACTATTCTAAATCCATTAAAACTTCGGCTCCATGATGGTGTTGCTGGGGCTAAGCTGAGTTTGGTTTGGGACATGTGGCAGTCTTAAAAATGCCCTCGATGGCTACTGCATGCGTGCCAAGTTGCTAATGGTCAGTTGTCTGGAGTTGGCTTCTCCAGGGCAGAGTCCCTGCCCTTGAGTGGATGTTTGTAAGACTTTCATTTCAGATGTGCATGGTTATGTGGGGCCAGCACTAAGGAACTCATTCAAGACACAGCTGCTCTCAACAGGGACTGAATTACAGACAAGATCCTCCTCCCAGCCAGTTACTGGCGAGGTGATGCAGTGTGCTCAACTTGCCCTGTATCTCCCCCTAGCGTCCTAGCCAGCAAGCTGCTACTGAGAGACCCCACTGTTGCAGTGGGATTTGACTTCTCTGAAGATGTGGATCCCCAACAAAATCAAATGAGAACTAGACTCCACTGCCTGGACTACAAAGTGAGACTCTGTCTCAAAAAGAAAAACAAACATGAGCGGGGCTTTGGTGGCGCAAGCCTTTAATCCCTCGGGAGGCAGAGGCAGGTGGATCTCTGTGAGTTCAAGACCAGCCTGGTCTACAAGAGCTAGTTCCAGGACAGCCTCCAAACAAAAACAAAAACAAAAAACAAACAAACGGGGGGGGGGGACCTAGACAGGCTCTGTGGCTCACATGTGTAATACCAGCCCTGGGAGGGGGCTGAGATTTGAGGATTGCAAGGCCAGCTAGATACATAGTGACAGGCCAACCAGCCTGAGCAACAGAATGAAACTGTTTTAAAAACTAACCAAATTAGCCAGCCACACGCCTTTAATCCCAGCACTCGGGAGGCAGAGGCAGGCGGATCTCTGTGA